TTACAAGTGGATGTAGCCACCCATCACGCACAGTTGTAGTACAAAAAGGAGAATGATGAAAGTGTCCGAGCAGGGTACACCTACTATTGCATTGGGAGAACGGGCTTATCTCGCCACTTTCCGTGCGTCAATGTGCCTCAGAATGTGCCTTGAAAGTAGTGAGCACACACTCTACTGGGTCGCTGCAATTATCAACTGAGAGAGCATGTCGGCGGCAGACCGAAATAATAACGTACATTGATAGAAACCATCAGCAGGTTTTCCCCTTATCGATATATCAATACCCAATACCCACAACATATCGGGGAAAATCATCAAGTAGCAGATCCAGAAAGTATACCCAATCTCGCCTATGAGTCGCAACTCAGTGGAACTTCAGTAAAGTGACGACTGGTGCTATTAATAATATCAGCTAACGGGAGTGATCCGAAAATGGACACTTCGGGCATGGAGTGTCTTCACTTGGATGCCAGGAATGTATATAATATGCACCAATAATAATAATAATAATAATAATAATAATAATAATAATAATAATAATAATAATAATAATAAATATTCGCTTTGCAATAGATTCGTATAGCGTGTGAGACATAGTTGTTTTCACCTCAAGATAGTGACATGGGTGGTAGAGACAACTGATCTTGATTGCTGTAGAATTCATGACTTCCACACAGCAGATCCAATGGTGTTGGCTATTCCGGTTTGTGTATCTAAACACGAAACTGTTACTAGAGACGCCATCAATCTGAATTATTTAGTCCAAAAAAGTTTGTCGTCTATGCACTTTACTTTATCCGTCTTTTTCTACTATTGCTATTAATGAAAACTCAAAACCTTCAGCAACAATAAATATGCAGATATATTTTATCTTAATTTATAGATGGCAGGGCATAAATAGCGTTATACGACGATTCCCGAAGCTATTAAACCAAATATTAGCGAATCTTTCAACACTTGTAGAATGTTGCGAGAAACAGGTTATTATTTATGACCTCCGAGTGCGTCCTTTCTTCAGTCATTGAAGCGGCAAGGGACCTCGACGTGTAAGACCCCTGAAGATAATCTATGAACGGGTGTAAAATGAATTTCTGTTCTGATGGGTGTTGAGAATAGGATCTGAAGTCATACAGAAAAATGGTTTGTATTTGAACAAATTTGTATTTACAATATAACCACAAGAGAGAGAGGATCTCTCTGGCAGTTTTATTCCCTGATTTTAGTAATGATTTCTGGCTATCCTTTAAATATCCTACTAGTAACTACTACTATATTGAATGTTACCGAGAGAGGAAAAATGAGCTCGGCACAGACAAATTCCTCGGACTGAATTAACACAGTATATTTTTACAAGATTTTTGTGACATTTTTTCTTTGCAAACAAATTATTTTGTTTGTAACTATTTATTTTGTAATTAATAAAACATTTGTTTCCAAAATGATTAATGTTTTCTAAAGCTCACATGCTTTAAATTACGTTTTTCATATCTATATTTTCATGATGGTTTCATTCAAAAAGCGACAAGAAATTATGTTTAAAGTGACCTAAAAAGCTTATTTTCAACGTTTCGCTGTTTATCTCTTGTATACCAGTTTTAATCCTGTAATGGGTTAAAACTGTGGGAAAACCATTGCTCTGACAAGGCTTCGAAGTGTATCAAACATGATATTTAATGAAAGTTTTATTTACATGGCTGACAAAATCTGTTACACTTTCATTTTTCGTTCAATACATAAATACTTTGTGATCTAGTATATTGCAATTCAGTGGTTAAAAGATCGTTGCTTTTACATTTTAATTTCTACTCGCAAATGCGTCTGATCTAGCAAGAAATTTATTAAATCAAAATAGCAGTTCAATAATACCTGATCAAAAGCGAAAAACCATAGCGTTTTGATATTTATTGCACTGTGTATTTTAATATTACAAATCAATCTGATGTATCTCATACACTTCAAAAAGTGTAAATGTAGGGTAAAGTCCGCTAATGCGGAATACCTTCCTCATGTGAAATAACTTAGTATATATCGGGCCTCTCTCGAGATACAATTTGGGAATTACTTTGAAGAGGCGCAGATCCTGATCGAGTGTAGATATCTTTTGTTGAGTTAAAGCTTTCAAGTAAGGTGGAAGAACGTGCTTTCTTCAGGGCGTCCACAAAATATTGGAGCAGAAAACAAAACAATTGATGTTACTCGCGTGCCGTAAATAGTAGAATAATTATCTATATAGTATATGTTAGTTGTATATCTAAGTAAACATCACATAATATATAAAGAACGCTGATTTTGACTGCGAAAAATAGCTTTAAAGCAATATGGCCGCTAAGTTCATAATGTGTATGGAATGTGTATGTGTGGAATATGAGCATTGTGCCAATGTAGAATATTCCGCATTGTTTCTGTATGTAAAATGTACACGGTTGTATACATGAAGTGGCATTTTCTAACATATTTATATTGACATTCTATACCGTACTGTGGAGGTAAAAGGTCCAAGAGCACAACTGATTCGTCTCAGTGTCAGAAGTATAATAACCGGGCTCATGTCCCATGAACAAATAATCCAAAAAAATTATATTAGATTTAAGTGAACAATATTAACCACACGTAAATGACTAGTTTAAGTAGTTAGTTGTAGACAAAAATGTAAAAAGTATTCCACATTCAGACACTTTGCTCAATAGGTTTACATATTGCTCCATGTAATGCAATTTGTTCCCAATTTGATATAAAAACATATTTATATCAGTAAAGTATATCCTTATACATGATATAAAAGCATATTTGTAAAACGCATTATCTATTACTAATCCCATAAAGTAATTCAATGTTATGTATCTGCAAAGAACTGAACATTCGTGAGATATGTGGAACATGAATGCGAAGGCCAAGGAGGTACGTCAAGACACGTAAACTGCAGTGCCATCGGGAAAATGTTTAATGTGACGCTCCATTGATTAGCAGCTCTTGCATCTTAAGGACAAAAGTAAGAGCATAATTTTACGTTCTTATCTCCAATGAAAAAACAACAAGACAACCTTTGTGAAGACTTCAAATTATTCATAGCGCAAACAAAAATCACATGATTTGGTAAATAGTACGTAGTGGAGAGAAGATCCTAAGAAGCTTACATTACCCTGCACGTTGCTTAGAGCACAAGGCCATACCTAGACTCGAAACTGAATTGTACAGCAACTCCGTAGTTGTAGTGTACTATCTGCCGTTCTATTACAATGTAGTAGACTCTATCCTCTTTAAAGAACGCCGCACGTACCATTCCGATCCAGTTTGCCTAGCCAGAGTGTCGGTTACTTTTCCAGGACGGCCGTCAGGGGCAGATGCAACCTTCCACACGCCACTTATGCTGCTTGTAATCTGGTGCGGCAGCAATGGTCATATGGCAAAAAGTGCCATTAAGTCACGCTTATGACAGTTTATTGATTAAAGTAGGTCGTTGGGTAAAATGTAACAGTGTGAATGTTTACAGGTGCATCTCAAAAGGCCAATACACGATGTGTAATCGAAGAAAATAACAACCAAGCAGTTATTATTTTCAATGATACACGTACGCAGCATTTTCAAACACCAAAATTCAGCGATAAATATTTTCTTGGATTTAACATTCATTTCGCACACTCAAAGGCATAAAAATTAAATTTCAATTTCAAAATTAAGTGAAATGTTTGTGGTAGAACAGGAGAGCATTAAATAATGGTTTAATTAAGACAGAGATATTGACTAGAAAAAGCAGTGTAATTGAAGAGAATTATTATACCGGAGTCGAATAAAATCATACATACTAGTACACTATTAATGAGTATAGACGCTTAGTTGACAACACTACAATTACAGATACCGTTAAGACAGGTTTAGTAGCAGATATTATCGCAATTTAATGGTAGTGTAAAGAGTCAATGTTTATGCTTTATGGCGTAAACAATTTAACAAATTATACAAAAAAAGCACAAAAAACAAAACATGAATTTCCGTATGATATAAAAAGCAAAAGTAAGTTGCATAACAGTACAATTAGGATCAATGAAAGAGAAAAAGAGTTGGGTTAAATTAAAAGAGGTATAGTCACGTCAAGAGAAGAGAGGAAGATTACTTTGGAAGAAGAGTTATGGAGATAGACCTACCTGGAAGAAGAGGGGCTACGCCCCAGAGAAGATGGATGGACTCCGTGAAGAAGGATACGTATGAAATGAACCCGACAGAGCAGCAGACTGCCGATAGAAGCAGGTGGTGAAGGTCGGCCAGCACCAGCAACTGCACACAAGTGAGAATAACAAACCGATGGAAAACAAGAGAGCACTACCTGAGCAGCTTCAAGAGCTGGTTCGTCAGTAGTGTGTCCGAGAGCACACGTTATAAATGGTCAATGAAGTAAATGAATACTTAAGATTCTGACGATTTTCTATACAATTCAATAAAGTTATTGGAGCATTCATTCTCGGCTTTCCATTGAAAAGCATGCCACCAAAAATGTAATGCGTGGCAAAATACCAAAATTTGCATGAGAGAAATACATCTGGGAGACTCATTCATCCCTGGGGCCAAACCTGTCCGCCTTAAAATTTGCCACCCACGTCGTCCTTGCCAACGGTCAGCCGGAGAGAAGGGAGGCTACAAGGAAAAGTGAGATGGATTATGCCTGCCGAGAATGCAACACTAACGTTTAATCTACATCCAGCATTCGTGCACATAGCTTGATTCTTAAGTACATGTTTCTGACTGATTGGCGTGGTAAATGAAAAGATGTAGATAAGCTACAAATTTGTTTAATTTCCAGGTAGCCCTTTAGAAAGCATTACAGCTATAATAGGAGCAAACAAATAAAAGAAAAAAAGACATTTTTTGCCTTCTCTTGAACTATCTTGCGATTGGATGCTTTTATTTATTTATTTATTTATTTATTTATTTATTTATTTATTTATTTATTTATTTATTTATTTATTTATTTAGGCGGAGAGACTGGTGGACAGACGGGCAGACGGAGATCGGAGAAGCCACGAAAAAATACCAATCATAGCAGCTGACAACTAGAATTGTTCTCCAGCAGCTAATTCGGCCTAGACGGACGGACAGACGGACGGACAGACGGACGGATAATAGTGAGGTTAATTGGTATGAAATAAAAATCAGTTCCATGAGCGCTCTGAGGCCAAGGTGAGGTAGATCGGGGGTGAATTCAAGATGTGGCGTCATATCACCAATGTCTACAAGGCAGTAGGACACATCTCTTGTATTAGCGAAAAAGTTGAGTGGGGCAATAAGATTGTCTGGAGCGAAGTTTATTTGGTAGAAATAATGTCATCAAGCGCATGAGAATTTAAAGACGCCATTTAAACTAACTCATTTGGTATCAGGTAGAACCACAACAAGCGAGGCAAGCAATTGAAAGGCCGATAGCCTTTGCATCCATGTCGCGTAACGAACATCCGAAAAACTATTCCCAAACAGAAACGACGCGCTAGTAACTATTTCTATAACAGAGATAAATTCAATGATTTTTGCATGGAAACAAGTTAACAACAAACAATCAATACGGATCACAAATCTCTTGTGTAAATTTACCATCCCGGAAAGAAATCCCCGGCATGTGCGTCTCAAAATTTCAAAGATTAAAGTTTGTTTACTCAACATCGATTTCCACTTGAGTCTGTGTCTATGTCAAAATGTTCTGGTAGAAATGGAAATATTCCTATGGAAAGTATTTTGTTATTCTTTTAACATCTTTTATTTTCTTTCTGTTGATTGGAAGGTCAGCTGAGCCATAAATTTTCTTAAAAGACAAACCTGGACGAGCATTCACTTTTCCCTAGAATGATTTACTTGATAAGCCCATCAATATACTTGGACCTTTCAATCAGCCATGGGCGATGGGAGACCAGATTCAGGGCTTTGCTAACGGTCCTAGCTTACCGCGAGCTGCCAGGTAAGGAAGGCAGAAGCCCGGCGGAGATTCTCCTCAGCAGGCAACCGCGGATTTGATCTTCTCTCCTTCAACCAGGTGTGTCATTCGCCCCAGAAGGAAGACGGGGTTTACGGTAGGCGATTGGGTTTGTTGTAAAACATTAAGACGGAACCCGCACACGTAGCAATGGTTATTCAATAAGTTAAAGGTTGCAGGTTAAACACGGTCGGTACCAAGATTGGTGACGCTCCTTCAATGACAATGAAGATGCCGCTACTCTAGAAGTGGGGTTGATAGTTTAAAGCAGGTGTTCCGTCAAGGGTTTAGAGCATGAGTTGAAAGAAATGATGTGGGATTCAAATCACTACGGCCGCCGGAACGAGCGCCTGCGGGACCAGCCGGCAGGGAGCTCCACTGAGGACATGGAGCAGGCAGCTGGACCTGGGACAAAGGAGGCTCCTTCTGATATTGGCGTGACGGAGACTCCGCTCGCTTCGGGGCAGCGCCGCGGGAGGGCGCGTCGAGAGCTGCGTTTCGTGCCGCGTACGTCGCAATTGAGCGCGGGGGGTGTCGCGGTCACACACGACCAATTAAACGAGCCGCCGCAGGGCATCCCCGGCGACAGTGCGTGGCAGGAATCTCCTTCCGCGGGCGGCAGGGAGCGCGCGCCACGGGCGTGCCCGAGGCGGGCGCCACGGCTGAGCAAGCGTCAAAGCCATCGGCATCGCCCGTACGCATCCGCCACCGCCGACAGAGCGCTGGCCAGAGAGCCCCCGCTCAACGGGGTATAAAGGAGAGGAGACGCAACCGATAACGCGGAGTGTATTCTAGGGAGTGACATGGCTGAGCTGCGAGTGGAAAGTTCAAGTACGTGGGATGACGAAAGTGGTATTTCTCTGATAAACTGCATTGAACATTGGACATCTTCTCAGTATAAATAAACTAAACTAGACTGTAGTACTTCTTTCTGATTCACGTAAAATTGGAGAAATTGGTTGGTACGATTCTGCATTACGGCTGGTGGAAATCAAACTTTTTATACCGTGTTCTGAGAGTTTTAAGTTGATCACTTTTATTATTACTATTATCATTATTTCATTATTATTATTATTATTATTATTATTATTATTATTATTATTATTATTATTATTATTATATTGTTATTGATATTATTAATATTAATATTATTTTTGATACTATTAATATTATTATTATTAATATTATTTGTGTAACATTAAAAAATTATGTGTCACGTACTATGGGAGAGAAGTACAATCAGGTCACATTATCTTGATGTCTATTTTTCGTCTCTTTTTCTCGACTAGTGCCTAAAAAAGATCTCCAGGGCCTCCGGCGTTAACTATTCCTCTCAGGGAACAATGACGAGTGAATAGCTCTCTCGTTCCGATTTGCATAACTTTTGGATAACGATGGGACATCTCGGCATACATCAACTACGCAAGACTTTGGTACATCTTTCTTATTCACGTTAAATTGGGGAAGTACGGAACGGAGTATTGGAACGAAATAACGAAAATATTCTAGGTTGGAAAACACAAAAAAATCTCTTTTGAGATAGAAAGTGGGATAAGGAATCCTTGGTAGTAACCGTATTGAGATCATGGTCATATGAAATTACGATACATATTTTAATAATAGAAAAAAATTATTTATGGAATAACTACAATTACAGTCATATAGCCCTTCATTGAGCATTATATCAAATGAAATATGAAAAATATTGTAATCAGATACCTACATCAAGTTTTGTTAACCAAATATCGTGAATGATTAATGACTATAAAGTCTATAATATTCTCTTAATGTCCATTTGATTATCATGATCCTCTTATAATAGAAATAATCAGACGCGTGAATCCCTTTTATCATGAAATACCATTTAACAATGGAGAAAAACAATTGTGATTTTACTGATACCTCACCATATTACAACAAACAATGTGAACATTAATACCATTTCAGTTACGCACTAGCCTATAAAATGCAGTGCTCAATGTGTTACTCATTTCAATTACACCAGCAAACAGTTGAAACCTTTCGTCATATTGGTATTTACATCATTATAACCTATTATCCATTAAACTCATCATCCCCATAATAATATTACATCGATACTTGTCTTTTAGTCTCAGATGTCATCCCATGCGTTCACAACACTCGGGATCATTGGATTGGTCCCAGGCGCGATGAACGGTGAAGCTGCAACGAGCTAAAATATCCTACATAGAGTGGCTGTCGCTTTAGTTTCATCGCTCTTGGTGGTGGCACGCCGAAGTAGTGGCCGCCATGTTTCTTGAAGTCAAAACCTACAAGTGGCGGTATAACTGTCCGTAACCAGCGCCAAACCTAATGCTAGAATACTTGGATTTCCAAAGGACGTTGCTTTTACTGCAAAAACAATTGCTTCAATGATGGAGGCGCTTCATCCGCTCTATGTAGTATATTCGAGCTTGTTGGGAAGCTCGCTTCCCCCCTCCCGCTCCCTTCCGACGCCACCGCCTCAGCCGCCGCTGTAACGGTTAACTTCTCGACGCGCTGGAGTTGATCCTCATGCGTTTCGTATCCCCCTTTTATTGTGTCCCAAATTTGTGCCCTACTTATCAAAATACATCTCCGTTTGTCCGTATCCGCATACAGTCGTCTACGCTGTCACTATCAGGGGATTTCCGTGAACACACGGCTTGCCACTGCACTGTACGAGATTGTTCCATAATTACCACTGTTCAATAGTAGTAATTGATCGTGATATTCCTGCATCGCACCAGGAAATAATTGTTTCTCACGTCCAAAGACGCACATTTGTATTATCACGTAGCACTTGTCCATTACGCCACGTCTGCTTATTAGACAAGTGTTCAATTGTTTCTAGCACAACTCAACCACACCATTAAATATCTTTCTATTTCTGCGTACTGCACACTCGAATACCACAGTTATTATGTCCTACTATCACACGTACTGCGTCGAGATTAATTCTCATTATCACGCGCCTTTCTAATGCAATGCGACTCTTCCATCTGCCACGCGGGCTCCCACTGGCTCTTCCCAACTGCCAAAATCTCGTGACTCCGGGTCGCACGCAACCCGCTCGCGACGGTCGAACTGGAGCTCGCGCCAATTCTAATGTTCCGCTTCGCTCTATTTGTTAAGAGACCATTGGGTCTCAAAAAAATAAACAGAGAGAGAGGCATAAAGAGAGACACAGACGGCGGAGGTAGCCTGAAAGCCCATCTATGAGGCGTTGGTAATGACTATCTGTATTTTTATGAATGTAGGTTGGTTTGGGGGTATTGGAGGACGAGGAGGAGAGATATGAGTTGATCAGTATACCGTA